ATGTGAGTTTCGGTGTTTTTCTTCTTGGATGTTGTGTGTCTTGAAAAATCCTCCGCACCTGACAAGAGGTTTCCAAGCGTGGCCTGCAAGATCCGCAGCTGTTCACCTTGGCACGATGGCCGAAGACATCGAACGGACAGGAAGGAGGCCGAGGACGAAGGAGCCCTTTTGAGGGAGTGAGTAGTAAAAACAGGGCAGGGGATGGCACTGGCAGCGTTGTCCAAAGCACCTTTTTTATCCCTTTTGAAGTATAGCAACAAGGAGTAGTTCACCTCCGAACATATTGCTGCCAACTTCGGAGAATTGAAACCTCTGACTCGGTCCAATGGTCCCTCTCTGACCCATCTGACCCTGCTTACTTGCATGTTGAGAACCCCACCTGAAAAAGGAGGGGGCAGTGGCACGGCAGTGGTGGCTGGGAGTGCCAATTTGATGCCCGAAAGTCCCCTCCCGCGGTCAGGTCGGGTCCCTCAAAACAGATCTTGAAGGCTCTTGCTCTTGGCTCTCTTAGTTTTTGAAGTCTTCCTGTCAAAGGGACACACTGAAGCCTTCCGCCACCCTGAAGCCTTACCACACATGTCCAGACTTCTCACCCCACACAACTTAGAGTCCAGAAACGCCTGCCGCTTAGTGCCGCTTTTTCATGGAATTGGAACTGTTTCACCAACCGGACGAACAGACCAGTTTCCACCTAGAACCAAACATCGCTCCCAAAGGATCCAACGTCGCGTAGGACTGTGTTCCACCAGGGGAGACCCACATGGAATGTCCTACACGACGTTACGTCCAACGCAAAGGAAATACGCCTACGCCGACGCTACTACTACCTGGCTCACCATATGGATAGTCTATGATAGTCTGCATCCCGAACAATGCATTGTTCTAAGGATTTTGCATGCACTAATCCATATACTGATCCATGCCTCTGGCATGGAATTACAAGGAAGACTTGCGAACATCTTGCCAACGAGCCAAAAAACGCAAAAAAGATCCCGACATATCCCGACTAAAGAACGGCGCGTGATTTCACCGGACACTTGTAATTGTACCAAACAGCTGATACATCTGATACTGTCCATGTCCAAACCACTGCTTAGCTAGCACCAACCAACCCCCACAAAAAGAAAACGCACCGAAAACTGCACCAACTTCACCAACCGCTTTCTCGGAAATGCTCCAAGCGTCTGTGAGGATCGGGATGCTTGGCGCTCAACCACTGGTGCGACACGAAGATCGCTCGACCCATCTCTTCACGAAAGGCTTGCAGCGGCTTCAGTGGGCTCTCCAGCTCCCAAGCCTCCTGGCGAGGTCGTGTCTCCGGGAGTCCAAGTGCTGGGAAGTGGACGACAAACGTCGGACAGTCATGAGTTTCGATTTTTCTGGAGGCTCGTCCTCTCCGCCCAAAAAGGGAACCACATGGAAGCACTCTGCATGTGGCACCTGGAACGTCTCCTCTTTCAGGCCCGGTCCGATCGTCCGGCCGCCCCAAACGGTTTTGAGGCATCCACAATCCCTCAGCAGGTGATTGGACCCTCCTGGCACCTACATAGCGGCGTCGAACACATCACCTGCTGAGAAGGTACTTGGATCCCTAGGGAATCTTGTCATGTAAAAGATGATCTGCATTCTGACACTCGCACTTAGGAATTGAATTGCCATCCATAATATACACTGGGGTGCCGAAAGTGGTGCTTCTTAACTTCTACAGGACAACACCTTTCCCCTTAGAGTCCTACGTGCAACATATGTCGACACCTAAGTTGCGGTCAGATTTCCACACCTGAAAGCCGTAAACGGGTGTGGAAATCTGACCGTGCTGTACCTGCCAGGCAAAATGGACGTGTCAATCCGATCCGCTGTAGACCGCAAGTGTCATGTTGGAACAGAGTAAGAAGCGTAAACTTTAGGGTTCTTGAAGTAAATGATCGGTCTGTCACTGAAACCTCGCTACAAATTACACCCTCCCAGACCTCATGGCTCCAATACCCCGCAATTTGGGCAATCGCCAATAATTGAATTGAGCCAAGAGTCTTGAGGGGGTATACATCAAGCAAACAATCAACCCTCCTCTCCTCGTGTGGGAGCAACTTTTTGAGCTGCAACACGGTCTCCACCGGCAGGGTGTACATTGGGAACTCCCGCACCACTCCATGATCACCTGGCGCGGACGTCCGGTCCGACCACTCGGCCCTGCGGTCGAACAGAACTCATCGGTTGGAGGTTCGTGAAGGTTGATGCGATGCGATCATGTTCGGCATTTCTTCTGGATTTACCATGGACCAAAACACTGTTATACTTAATGATCCATCTCATTCCATCTCGATGTTCGGTGGGGTCAAACCATGTGAAAGCATCAAGGACTCCTCCGAGCCAGGCAAATAGCCTCCTCCGAGCCGGACCCATGACGAACCGTCAGATCCGCATGGCCCCAGCGAAGATTCAGAACCGTCCGACGACGGCAGATCGGCGGACGGCGACATGAGAAGCAGATCGGTGAAGCTGCAGCTTGGACCACGGATTTCAAGTGTCCATGAGCCCCGAGGGCGCCCAGGTGATTCGGGGTGTCCATGATCTGGGAAAGACAGCTTTGAGCAAAGGGTTGAGGGCACTACATCGTTTGGTTCCGAGCCTCGTGTAATTGTTGGCCGTGCGTCATGGCAGGTCAGTGGTTACCCCTTAATCCTGGTAACCGCGCAATGGCTGACCGTCCACGGCACCTGCCTGCTCGGTCCCAAGCACGATGTAGATTTGGCTGGAACAAAGGAAGCTTTGAACTGGTAACTTCTTTATCTTCCTGGATCTGTCCTCTTCCCCCGAACTGGCTCGTTGCCTGGATGGTCCCCTTGTCCTCCCCAAGGGCGAACAGAAAAGCACCCTGAGTTCACTGACGTAACGATTCGTGTGTTTTTCACCGTGGCTTTCGGGGTCCTTCGGGTCGATGACGGGTCGAGCTCGGGTCGAGCTCGGTTGGGGTCGAAGCGCGACGATGAGACGAGACGGAGACGGTCGGTCTCGACATGTCTCGACGGTCCGAGTGACTGGCGAAGCGCGTGGAGCTGGGCGAGAGGCTGGAAGCAAAGCGAGAGAGCGGCGATTCGTCCATGCTGTGCATCGGGCCCGTCCCACAGTCCAAGTTGGGATCGACTTCGAGGCGTGGCAGGAAGCTGGGAAGGGAAAGCCGTAAATACTCTTGTCTTTTTTTTTTGAAGAATCCGGGATGGAAAGAATGGATGGAATTGGATGGAAAGGGTTTGAAGAGTCGGGACGTTTGATGTGGAGGGTCTCACTCCTGCGGAGTCCTCTTCCATCTGGGGCCAATGCATTCGACACCTTTATGTAGGCGCCAGGAGGGTCCAGTCGTACCTTGTGAGAGGTTATTTGGATCCCTATAGAGTATCTACTAAACATCTGGGCCCATGGGATTGTCCTTTCAATTTTTGTCCTCGGCAGCGTGCAAGCGCCTGCCGGAACCTGCGGCCGAAATGGCAGCGTGACCTGCGGATCCAAGATCTAAAGCAAACGCCGTGACCAAGTCTCTTGACTCACACCGGGAGCTGTTTCCCTGGACACAAATGGTTTAATTTATAACCTTTTTCCACCTGTCGGATGTGAGTGGAGTGTCCCCAATCCCCCGCAACTTGTAGATGACATCCACTGACTGCGTATAGATCGTACAGGTTGATGTTCGGATCTTCTCAACTAGGGCAAACAATGGCAAAACAAAACCGTTCCCTCACCAAACCTGCAGCCGCTGCAGCCGCCCGTTCGCAACAGCACGTCCATCTTCCGTCAGTCTCCGTCTCAGCAGTTGATATGGTCGTTTTGATCATATTCTTCGAAAACAACTCCCCATCTGTATCCAATTCGGCTCAGAAAGGACCCTCAGTTAGCTAGCTAGAGAGTATTTTGACCCTCACCACTAGGGCAACTTGGACCGAAGCAACATGCACCAGGAGTTCGATGTCGGGGTGGCTTTTTTTTGGACCCTAAAGGAAGTGGATCCTGGCCCCCCCTATCCTCCATTCCCTACAAATCCACATACCTGAGAAGGTACGACTGGATCCCTAGCGATTGAGCACCCCGGAACTGCTGGTCGGTGGCGGTTGAGACCCGTTCGGGTCGCCTCTCCCACCGAGCTCTGGATGGAACCAGAGCCAATCACACCGTGCTGTGGGGCGGAATGAGCCTATCAAGTTGGCACCGCATAGGACCTCCCAATTCCCACGACTCTTTCCCAACCACCTTCAAACACGTTTCCAAACGGAGATGCTAGCAGTCTAACTCGTTAAAACCATCCTTCAACCTTCAACCTAGTACTATATGGTTTTTTCGGCAACGGTCGTTTTTCGGTCTTGGCCATACATACTTCGAATGCAGGTCTCGCCGCGCCGCGGCGCGCCACTCCCAGGAAGCGGGGCAACGACACATACCCTCCCTGAAACACTCATGGAAGTGGAAGCACAGCCTGTTCGTAGAGGAAGAGCTGTCATGTTCGTGGGGCCATGTTCAACTTCCATGTTTGGATGGAGGGTCTATCTATTCTGGATTTGCCCATATGAGGGAAAATAAGATGTCATCCGATCAGGCATGATCAAGCACTTGTTGCGATTGGATGTGTGGTTTCTGTCTACATGCCATTCCTTTGCTTACAGTATAGTCCAAAATGGGAGGGTTCGAAAACAAAGGATTGGCGGTGTTGAGGCCCAATGACGTATGTCTAGTAATGATTAGTGGACTTAGATTGCATTTGGCTTTTGACAACCTAAGGATCCATTCATTTCATTGAGAACCCCCTGCAATGAATTGCTCACGGTTCTTTAAATTGCACCTTTGGGGTCCTGTTAGCCAAGTGCATAAATCCCAAATACTCCATGGGACTGCCATATATGCCGATCAGTTGGGGTGGTGGACTGGGGGGTCTGGCTGGGGCGGCAGTCCTATGGCAGTCCCGGAGTGGTTCAAACACCAGCGCCAAACCGGCGAACCGCGGACGGGCGCGCCTCCACGCGTTTGCCCACACGTTCCCGAAGCATCGCCTGCCGCTAGGCCCCTGTCTACACCATGAAAGGGCGGGGTTCCCCCCAGGACCCGACACCGCGGGGTGCCCTGTCTGGAAGCCTATAGTGTGGGGATGTGTGGGGTAGTCCAGCCAGGACACCCCGAGGGTCGGAGGGTCCAGGCCTGTCTACACATTTGCAGTTTGAACCCAGACTCTCCATGTATGCCATATATGCCTACATTGACCCCCCAAGCCACCCTAATGTAGGCATATATGGCATACATGAGGTGTCTCGGTTATATAGCAATCATAAGAATGAAACCGCATTGTCCATCTCCCACATGGCCAACGAAAACCAGCTCCTCCATCCAGCTTGCCTCACCCAAACCAGTGCAACGTGGTTTCAAACGTAGAAAACTGGCTGTCACTTGGACACAAATGCACTCCAGCACTGCAAGGGTCGCTGTTGTGCAGCATGTTGTCGCAGGCGCCGATCATTACCCCGTTTCCAAACCAAACCGTCACACGAAAGCCACCTGGCGCAGAAGACGGCGAGATTAGGATCGAGGCGACGGCAAGAGCCACCGGCGTGACGAAGGCGCCTTGGGATCCGATGCATCGAGTTGTGTGCTGTCGAGGTCATTTCCTCGTAAGGATCCAGCAGAGGTTTAAGGACCCGAACTAGACTACCCCATAGGTACTCCAGTAGGGTCCTATTTACGGTCACTGAACCTCTCTTGGATCATAATTGTCGGTACAGTTCGAGGAGATGACCCGGGTCACTCCATGGGACTGCCATAGGACTGCCGCCCCAGCCAGACCCCCCAGTCCACCACCCCAACTGATCGGCATATATGGCAGTCCCATGGAGTGTCTGGGTGAGGATATGTGTTCCTCGCTTGTTTTCAAAGGATGTTTGTGTCTCATCTCCGAAAGGTGTGATCGTTTCAGAATGTGGTCTCGGTCCTCCAAAAACCCACCTGCTGTGGGCGCATGTGCCTGGGATTCCTTCGGCCACGGTGCCTGGGCACCAGCCACGCTAAACATCGACCTCTTCTCCGAGACAGTGGTGATGTGGGGTTTATCAACCGTGCCAGGAAACGATGACTTGTCGGTGCGGGCAGGGCATTCAACGATGAACCCCCCGCAGGGACATCATTCAGAAGGCGGCAAGCCGGTCTGAATCTGCACAAGTGCGGCATGGCTCGCAAGGAGAGATCCCTTGCAAAGCCTGAGAAAACAGCAAAGGCTGAAGCCCCACAAAGCTCGTACTTCCAGCACAACAACCCTCAGGCCCTCAAACACCTCAGCCCTCCCCTCACGCGCGTGGCGCCTTGTGAAGCATGAAGCGCTGGTCCTGCGCTTTCGACCCTGTGGGCGAGCGAGAGGCCGAGGTGAAAGCGGGGGATTAGCCCTGACACGACCTGTCTGGGACTGCCAGGACGGACTGCCGCCCCAGACAGTCAACTACCCCTGGCCGTTTTGAAGGCAGTCCGTCCTGGCAGTCCCATGAGTCGTGTCTGGGATACATCCCTAAGGGTCCACGGTCCAGGACCATCCTGAGGATGGTCTTGGAAGTGAAAGTACTTCCTGAGAGTGGTCTTTGGGGCCAAAGGACGTCCTCAGGATGGTCCTGGACCCTTAGGGCATCATCCTAGGGCATGGGTGTCCTGGCGTTCGACTACCCTACGCTAAGGTAAACAGGTCTCCTACTCCAGGGCACACGGAAGTGCTAGGTACCTTCATGATCTCTGCTATTCTCTGCTTTAAGAGGTTTTAACGTGTTTCTCTGCTGGAACTCTTCGTGACGCTCAAGGTTGGAAGGGGTCGGCTCCGAGCCATAATTCCTGCAAACATGCTTTCTCACAAGGCGCTTGGGGTTGTGAAGCGCCAACTATTTCATATACGGCATGGGAGGGTGTACTTCAGATATATCCCTGCCTGTGTTCATGAGTGACGCACGGCGTGGTTTTGGACTTCCATGGTACTTGCAAATGACTTGCTTTCCATGCCGCTGGGATGTTGTAGGTAAAGGTACTGGTCCAGGTTGTTGCTGGCAAATGGAATGTCGGCTTCTGTGGAAAACAAATATTCTTCAATCACTACGCTCGCACGTGTGGTTGAGGTTTTTTGCTCCCACATCAGCGATCCATTTCTGGTTCCCCACATCAACCTATAGGAAGAGTCCCCGATGTAAAGTTAGCAACCCAAATTCAGCATGGGAGGCAGGAGTCTGTCCACACCGAGAGCACCGGCCCTCAACCGAAACCATCTTTCTGCCGGTCGGTCCTCAGACAAGGTCCGGCTGAACCGGTCAAGCTGTGCCTTCAGTTGAGAGTGCAAGAGCAACACTTCAGCCATGGGTCATGAAAACCAAGAACAGTCGTTGACCTGCAAGATCCTGCAAGCCCACGACCAAGCCCACGACCTGGCACCTAGAACAGCTTTGAATGGTGTTTAGTGATGCTAATTAGCTTACTGATTGACTTACAGACCAAGGTCTCCTTCAGTTCTCCTGTTGCGACTTCTTCCGGCTTTTTCGCAGCATCAGTGTCTGCAGGAGCGGGGATCGGACCGGGAGGTCGGTCACGAGTGCTCTCCGCCTGAGGCTGTTTTTCTTCATACATTCTGCGGTAGCACCGATGAGCGCACGATTCCTCAAAAGACACCAGGCTGAACACATCCCATTCAACAGCTCCAAATCAGCTTTTCTATAGAGTGGCATTCCAGCTGTCTTATCTTCTTTCCGAGGATGACCTATGCTGTGTAAAATTGTAGATTGTTTAAACGGTCCCATAGAGATTTATTCATGAAACAGAATACATCATCCTCAACGTAGATCTCCTACAACATGTCTTTTCGGGTTTCCGACGACCTCTCCATAGAATCGATTGGAGGTTCCTACCTCCTACGATCGCAAATCATCGAACTTCGGTCTAACTGACAGAACATAGGTACAAATAGTCTCAACCACCGGACATGCATGAAAAATGTATATACCTTCAATGGGTGTCCTTTCTGGAGATCCCTAAGTAGCGGAGGGGCTTCCATTGGTGATCCCTTTGAAGGTGCTGGTATTTTAACAAATTATTGATACAAATTGTAGGTCCCCAAGGTCATGAAATGTTGGCGAACGAATAACTTAACTACTATATAATGACATTGAAATTGAAATTAGCCACACCCAAGGCCCTTACAGATACTATCTGTAAGGGGGACAGATTCACACACCGAGATCCGTTCAGTGGAGGTGCTTCACTGTCAAAAGAGACACACCAGTGGAGCACCTCCAGCCGCGTAACCAAGCTGTCACTGCTCTGACCCTCATACCCCTGAGCTCCTGAGCCTCCACACCGTGAGCCCTTCGACGTCCTGAGGGAGAAGCAGTCGTAAGGACTGCCCGTCACAAAAAAAAAAACTTCTCCCTCCTTACAGTTGCTCAGTTCATGTAGACTCTTGATTGAACTCTTCATGTGTTTGGGACTTGTTTGCTTTTATGATTATTCATCAAGAGCTTACAACACCACCAAGTGAGCACAGATTCGGGCACCTATCTCTACCAAGACATGCTTTTACGTCTTCGCAAGACCACGTTGCCCACATTCCACGTGGCCCGGAGGGGCAGGCGGTGGTCTTTGTTCAGCATACCCATGAACCCGTGTGCTTGCCTGTTTGTGGCTCTCTCAAACACTCCTGGCCTGCGTCAACACCCCCAAACCTTCGGATCTGCTTGGGGCAACTCACGAACGCCCAAAGAAACAGTCAGTGGGTGAAACATCTTCAGTTTGAAGGGTTTTTCACATGAAAAATGAACGATCCTCTCTATCCTCTCTGACACCCTCCAGGTCGACCTTTTTTGGGGCGACGCATGCATTGCACCGAATGGTCTCGGTCTCGGGTCTCAACCAATTTGTTGTGTCTCTGCCCTGTTCTTCCGTCGATCTCTGCCCGACCTACGTCCCGATCCGTTGTTCGAAGACTCCATACCAGCACCACCCCGCACACACTCGGGTGGTATATACACCCCCCTCCCTGACGATCTATGTTCATAGATGTTCCATAACCACCCGAAGTGGGTGGTGATATTTATATACCTACATTCGGGTGGTTTGGGATGGTGTAGCCATATCTTCCATATTGGAGTGTCTGGGTTTCATCCCGATCTGAACGCTTGGGTGAAACCACCAGGAACACCCGTCCGTCCTCCGTTGAATCTTGAACCGAACGACGCCACCTTGTTCATCCGCACGCAAAGGTTGCCACGTTTCCCGTGGCCCAGCGGGCCAAGCCGTGCAAGCCCGCAGACATCATTAATTAGATGGACTTACCTGGTCCAGGTCAAGGAGCAAACCTGGTGACAATCTCTGCCATCATCAATGGAGCTTAGATGAGCTCTGTGTTGCAAGTCCTCTTGGCCAACATGCAGAATGCCTTCCCTTCACAGCAACGGACATTGTGCTACGAGGGGACTGTCGTTGGAATGCTTCTGTAGACCAAATCTGGTTGACATGATCAGGAAAAGCAACTTAGCAATTCTTGAAAATACTATCTATAGTACTATATAAGAAACATTTGCAAATCCTGCCACATCCTATCTAAGATGCATATCAGTCCTGCGTCGCATGATTGGGAATAGGGATGATGAGAACGACTTGATCCCTCTTAAGGCTTTGGGATTGGATTGATGAGAGTAGCTTGGACAATGCCGTCGACATCATGGAACCATAAACAAAGACAAACCATGAATACTAAAACCATACAAAGCCAACACCAAGAGTCTTCAAGCAGATTTGCCTTCAACTTTAAACCTCTTCCCATGCCCTCCATGTATTTCATACTGTATTTCGTATGTCCATTCCAGACGTCTCGTGGGACGACTGGTTGGTGGGACTGGGGAGAATCAGGACGGTCCGCTTCGGAGACCGAGGGACCGAGGGACCGAAGCCACGAATCCGTCGTCTCCGCCGTACCCAAACCGATAAGGGACGAGGTCATGCGCAGAATTCTACGGCGCACCTGACCGAACTAGCCGTAACTGCAGATATGATGATCGCTTTGTGGGGCTACGAACATGTCGAACAATGTTTTGACTGCTGCTGGTTGGACTGCCTATAAGGTATCACCTCTTGCTTTAAGTCCATCTTTCTGTGTCATACCTCACGCGCCAGCTTTAAGCTCCATGCTTGACCTGGATCCAAGCCACACTCTATTGGTGCGGCTTGAGCGCACGAGCTGCCACAACACCTCGATTTGGAAGGTGCAAAAATCTGGCCAAAAGTCACCCATCGACCCGTCGTCACCCGTCTCGTCCTCCTTCTTCCGCACCTCCCACAGGGCCCGTCGGATGGGTTTGGACGGTGGGTGGACGGTGGCAAGGTAGCGACGTGTGACCAGTTCTCCTGGCCGCCCCCTCCGTGAATCGTGTTCGATGGTTGGGGTGCCAGTGGTAGGGGGTAGTCTGTCCCCACCGAACCTGAGGATTTTTCGGGAGTCTGAGCCCCTTCCGCTTCTGGGTGTGATCAGTTTGGTACCCTTCCCTGCAGCTGTACATGCCTGTGTTTCTAAGGACTTCGACTGGTAGACAAAACTCTGTCCACCAGTCGATTTGGTTGGTTGGTCCGGGGAAAAGAATCAAACATATCCTAGTTTTGTACCAGGATTGTGTCCGAGGTATTGGGGAACATCAACATCACGGCGAGAAATCAGCAAAACCAGGAGTGCGAGTCCACCTTGTGAATGATCCCGTATAAGTGGAACTGTTCAAGATTCCGACCGTGAGATTGTCACATATTTACCTGGACTGGCTGCAGCTGGGGTGTGCAAGCGAGAGCCCACATGTTTATATTTGTTTAAACATGTCTAAAATGTGTTGTTTATGGTTTGTTTTGAATTGTTTTGATGTGTGTGTGTGTTTTGTTTTGTTTTGAATGTACGGTAGTTACTCGAGCAGCCCAAGCGGATATGCCAGGAAAGCTTCCCAAATTGGTAGGGATCAAAGATGATCAAAGCCATGTTGAAGTGCCAAAGGCATCAAACAACCTGTTGCTATCTGTTGCTGTTCTTTGCGAGGTCGGAGAAAAGAACACCCCACTCCTTTGTGCCGAAACACGCCGAAACACCGACGTCTTCATGAACCGAACGAGATCTAAGAGATGCCGCAAACCGGACCAAAAACCACACCAAAACCAAAAAAGGGGTTGGGATCATTAGGGTTTAGGGTTATCATGTGTAAGAGACGGTGACAACCATGTCTTTTTGCCTTGATTGGTTGAGGCTTTGCGGGGGGTTAGATTGCTTTCAATCTAACCATGTTGACTGCAAAACTTTTCAGGAGTTCTCATGTGACTCTAGAAATGGACCTCGTCTTAAACTTGATTATTAAAAAAGACAAGTTGTTTGACCATCATCGAAGTAGGATCATAGTAGGATCATATTGGATGGTGTGCTGGTAAGATGCGATACATGCAACTGCGTTGCCCTCGGAACTTCCTCGGTGCAGAGACGGCCGAGCGAACTCACCGTTCCACACCGTTCCACACCGGTGAATGAACCAAGGCGCGAGGCGGTTGCCGCCGTTCCCTCTAGGGGAAGATGGCGTTGGCCTCTTGAACTGCCTCGGCCTCTGGTGTTGCAGTGTGATTCTCCTTCTTCTCCTTCTGCAAGTTGTGAATTTGCTCCATCATGTGGTCAAACCAAGACCCCTCCGAAGGATCCTCCAGAACGAGCAAACAGGGATGAGGAACGACATGGGATGACGTGATGTCTGGTGAAAACAGAAAGCAATGTGGACCTTCAATGTCAGTCCCTTAGGCCTGTAAAAGGTCACAAACAGAGACTCACTTTGAGGTCACAGAGATCAACCCCCCCTCGCCAGCTTCTGGGCTCTTGCGCTTAACTGGCGCATCTGGGGGTGAGTCGACGAGTTGCCCCTCTTAGACTGCCTGGAAGAACTGTTGCGGTATGTTACGGTGCTTTTTTGTAGAATTTCTGCTCTGTGTCTCAATGAGGATGTGGTTCTGGTGAGAGCATATCTGCTAGGATTCTAACAGACCAGGAGCATCCCGGGTGTCGGACTACTTTGAGATCTCTCCGGCCACCCCTGGATGGTCCAGGTACGGTCCAGGTATATATGCCTATAAATTGAATATGCTGAATTTGGCTGCATGGTTCCACCGAAATCAGCCCTCCCCCCATGTCAATTGGATTCAAACAAGACTGATTGGATTCTCTTTCCAGGAATGCAACACAAAACAGTGAGACGACCGTTGCTGTGGCCCTCCAGTGGTGGGCATCGACCGAAGCATGCACCGCAGTTCTCGATGGCCCGGGATCAAAGCGGAAGAAGAGTGGATGGAGCTTTTCAAGCAAGGTTTACTGAGCATCCCTGCCAGGAGCTATGGAAAATGAACATCTAGAATCTAAAATCTATGAACAATTCTCCAATGAAGATGACCACTTTCCTCTTGGTTTTTGGATGTCCCATATGTTCATCCATCGTATTCTTTCTGTCTGGAGCTAAATGCTCCACCCCTGCAAGTGACCTCATCTCCTATGCTTGGGCGAGAAGACATGCTCCCGTCATCTCCCAGCTCTTTTGGGAGAGGTCCAAGGAAGAGGGCATGAAAAAAGGTTAACCTGTCGGCTCATCATCTACCAGCAGAGGTTGAAGGACCCTATAGAATATCCCATAGGTACTCCAGTAGGGTCCCATATGGTCACTCAACCTCTCTTGGTATACTATCCCAGACAATCGGACTGGAAGAGATACCTATTACATTAGGCCCCATGACTCCAGGATTCCATGGGTGTTTTATCGAATTTTCTTTATCGCATGTTCTGGGACAAAACATCTATCTATGCTTCCCCTTCGTTACCTCAACGTCCCCGGAGCAAGGCTCTGAGTCCAAAGACTTCTCCAAGGACTTCTCCATGGCGCAGCGACCGCACTTCCCGCGGACGCATGACGTGCAAGCATAGGACCTCGGGTTCGCGGGCCGCGCGCGCGCCAACGAGCGCGGCTCTGAGCGGCATGCCCAAAACCATTATAATGTGAACGGGGTCTGCGTTTTTGTGTCAGGTTAGAGCCGAATTCAGAAACTAATCGGTCGGATTCTGAAACTGTTCTGAAACTGGAGAGTCATTAGTATGTCGACATGAACATCTCCGGTGCCCAGGGGTCTCCCGAAAATTCTCGGTGTCCCTACCAAGGCGTCCGGACTGAGATTTTGGGCGACCTGCCGGAGTCGAAGCTGCTCATCGTTCAGATCGCTCCGAGGAAGCACCGCCGACTGCTCGCCAGACCGCTGCGGGAGCAGCCAGCGTGTCCTCCGAAGCTTGTGCACCAAAGTTCATGGAGCCAAGACTAAGACCGACATCAATAGCAGCACATAGCAGCACCAAGAGTCAACGATGCTTTTTGGCAGAAGCGTGAGTGCCGTGCAGAAGCCTGGAGGACTCATCCTTTGCAACGAGGACTGTCCGGATTGTTTTTCCTGTGTCAAACGGCATGTTGAACCATGCCGTCAAACGTCTCATCCTTTCTCTCTTGCACCTGACAGAAGCCACCCGGCAAGCCCTGTTCCGAGGCCCGTTCCCGCGACTCCCCGGCGCCCTGTTCCGGCGCAAAAAATGGGGCGGCCGGCCGCTCTGCTCTTAGGGCGAAGGAGCATTGAACCCTCTAAGAATCCAGGGGACGCAAGGAGTTTGAACCTTGGTAGGTCCAAGTACACCATCATACACCATCCATTAAACCACCATCAGGTTCAATGTATACCAACCATATACAGGGTCGCAAGCCGGCCTCCGGTCGCACCTGTTGAGGTAGGTTCGGTGGGACTGGGGTGGGTGGATGCCAGTAGGGTCCAGTCATACCGTAGCTGAGGCACTTGGAGGTGTAGGGAAGTCAGTCCCATGGATTGTTAGGGTAATGGATTGTTGTTAGTGATGCTCCAGTGCCCTTTCATGGTAGAAGGAGCTCATGGCCCCATGGAATGAGCTGTTTGGGATTGGATTCAGTGATGAAGACTAGAAGGGTCGGTGTGGTTTGTCATATACATTCATATTCATACCTATATTGGTTGTACACTTGGGGGTATCCCCTCTATTAATCAACGAATCAATAAGACGTATTAAAAGGCAAGCCCAAGTCGATCGGATTTTTGGATTCCTGAAATTCCATCAACATCCCAAAGCTCAGTCCGCCCCGTGGTGATATGTGGTGATGCCAGGTTTACTGACCAACACCGGCTGTCAGGTCGCTGCAGGTCTCCTGCTGAATGAGACTCAGCAACCACTGAAACGACCGACCGACCATCGTGGCTGGACGACCCTTTTTTCGGATCTCCAGCCAGGACACCCCGGTCCAGGATGCTCCAGGTATACATTTGAACAACGTCACAGTATTTCAACAAGCAAAAAGCAGCCCCCAAATCTCCGAACTGTGGGTGTAACAACGATGCCGGCCTAGAAACCGCTGATACTACCGCCACATCCTTCCTCCCTTCCTTCACCCCCTTTCGAGACGCCAAGTCGCTGGGAGTCGGAGGCACACTGGGACAAGCACTTGCGGATGGTGCAATCCACCTTGTCACCAAAGCAGTTGGCGCAATTGCTGCTCATGCCACGACCCCTCCTGGGCAGAGTCGGGCGGAGTGGATTCCAGCACGGCGCAGGCGGCGCGGATCGACTCCACAGCGGAGAATCGACGCTGGTCAGGGGAGATGGAGATCTGGATTCACTGTTAAAGGTGTTTTACCTGGTGTGTTGAAGTCCCAAAACGGCAAATGCCAAAGAACAAAAACAAAAACCAAACACCAGGACCTTCAAAGTGACCTCTTTGGAGTCTGTAAGTGACCTCTTCAGGGACTAAGTGACCGCATTATCTGGAATCTTACATAAGAAAAAGCTGCGGCGCCAATTGTTTTTCATGCCGCCGAGGCTCAGGCACGTGCGAGCGCACTGTCCACGGTTGGGGTTCCTGTAGCACTGAGTCCCGCAGGCCTCGTGGTGTCGCGGGTCGTACGCCCAGTCACCAGCGGCACGGAATTGGGCCAAATGCAGGGGGGACGAAAGTAGATCACCCTGAATTTTTCCACCATGTGGTGCCGGCCCACAACCTTCCGCTGTGGAAATCTGTAGAACTCCGAAGCAAGCTACACAGCTAGCTAAATCCGAAATCCAAATGGTGCAAGAGCATTGAACTTCAGGCTTCAATAGCTCTGTTTTTGAGGCAGCCACAGACTCCGTGGATTCCCTTAGCCTTTCCAGTAGGAAGGACAGGAAATATACATGGCCAAACACGGCAACACCGCAACACCAATGAGGTACTTCGATTGGCTAGCACGCACACTGACTTCTGCAAGAATCTGCAAATAAAATCAAATAAGGTCCACCACCCTGTCTGGGAACTTCTGCGAAGCACATAAGGATGAACCACATCTTACGAAGGATGAACCAAAGTTCAAACAAGTCTTCTGTGAGCCACAATGTAATGCTACGAACCCCGCATTGTTCGACAACCTGCTGGACACTTCTACGAACCTGCAATGCAACCCTGCAAAATGATCATTGCCACCGAGCCCATACTCCGTTGTTTAGGCCCCTTCTAAGAAACAGATATTTAAACATCTTTGTCCTGAATACTCTCGTGACCTGATCCCAAGCAAAACTGATCCACAGAGTTTGCACGTACTGTGGCGCGCTCCATCCTCTTGACCCCCGTGGTGTTCCCTCCCGTGGCCTTGAGAGAGACTTGGTCCTCCCAGCAGCGCCCGGAACGCTCGGAGGTCTCGCTCGCGACCGTTTCCGTCTGGTTGGGCTTGGGCTCCTGGCCGAGCGAAGGCGAGGAGTTCCAAGGCGCTCCCAGTTCTTTGCCAGGGATGTCAGGTGTTGGTTGCGAGGTGTTCATCTATCACCCATTTAGGGTGGTAGAGATGTGCACATTCAGGCCAGATATGTGATCTCAAGATCACCGTCAGGCCTTGGCTCTCAAGATCAGGGACACAAGGGGTATATAATCCGATATAATCCCAATCAGTTTATAAAGCAACAAAAAAACTAACATGTCTCAGCTCTTCTTGGAGAACTGTCAAGATCCTCAAGATCCGTTGCTCTCACTTGTTCTATCTTGTTCCCCTTTGGGGGCCCTGAAAACGTCCTAACTCGAGGCTCCAATCCAAGTGTGTTTCACCAGCTTAGAGACGTGCTCAAAAAGCGTGAGCGCCTCGGGTGCAGCAAACATCAACGTCACCAAAACGATGACCTTTCACAAAACGTAACATACATAATTGCACAGGTGCTCATGGATCATGCCCTAGCCCCCCTAGCCTTCCAAGACCATTAAACAAATGGTTGACATGGTTGTGTATATTATATACTGTAATTATGTACAGTGTAATGCCCCTAGTTAAAATTAATGGTTCTTGGATGTTGTTGGAATCCTAGGGCATGGCTGAAATGAATCATGAAACAGGCCAAAGACGCATTAAGTCCTTCTTCCGGGGGAATCGTCAAGTGGAAGCTACACACTCACATGGGGAAGCGTCCAAAACCCGGAGCCCTGGTCCACTCGACCTTCCAGGGTAGGTCCAAGGTATGTGGTGTTTCTCTCGCTTCTTCGTCATGGCCGTCATGTCCCTAGGAGACGGTAACTGGTCGACCTACCAGGTGTTCGGTCGTTCGCTACGGTGCTTTCCCCACAGCGAACATGGTTGAACACCCCATCCCCACCACCCAGGGTGTGCCCCAGTTCCGCCTCAGCCACAGCCTTGGGCTCCGGGAAGGCCGCCGCCGCCAAGATCGTGCTGGCCTCCTGGAGAGAACATGACTCCATTCAACACAGGCCCTAGGGCTCCAGGTGCCTCAGGTACGGTATGACTGGACCCGACACTGGCACCCACCCCAGTCCCACCTTCTCAGAAGGTATCTGGAACCCTAGCAAGGCACTTGATGGTACTTGTATAGTACCCATTCTTAGGATGAGTACTTTGAGGGTCCAGGTGGATATGGAATGAGGGTCCAGGTGTGTCGTGGGTTTCGCCGCAGGGGCGCTGCTGCGCTGGTGGAAAGCATCCCCTCCCTTCCATCCAGCAGGATGGACCAGGCTGAATTGGGGATCGAAGTCGTAGCCCGAACATCTACAACCCCAAATCGATTGCACAACCACGTTAGGTCGGTTAGGTCACGGTTAGGTCACGGTTAGGTCGGTGGATTGGGCAAATGGTTCGATGGTCTGCACGAATCTCTCTGGATGGTGGTGATGGGTTTTGGGAGAACTCCTCCATCCTTCGTTCATCTGAAAGATTGGTGCAATCTTGCAGTTGGCTGCTTTCCAACATCTCTCATGAATAGGCCAAACGGAACCCGAACCCGTTCAATGGCTTCCTCCTCGTTGTATTGCTCTTCCTCGAGTGCCGACTTCCCAGCATTCTTGCACAACGAGCGCGAGCAGCTTGCACGAACGCAACCAGTGCAGGTCGGCGTCGTGAAGCCTCCGGGCGACGGAGAAGAGACCACTCGTCGTCGATGCGAGAGGCCCAAGACTTGGCCGACAAGGACCAAACCGACCCGGCTGGAAGGGGATATAGATGTCAATTTTTCTCTGCTGGAAGAAGGATATTGGAAGAGGTTCCCTATCTGTCCATGTAACTCATGGATACCAGCATTCCAATTTGTTTGCAGTTGTTCTGTTTGCATAGTAAACTCCAATGTAACCATTGACCCACAGAGTGACCGGTCGAGCGACCCCGTGAAAGACTTCTCAGGCCAGACTGGCAAGTGGCTGCCTTCGACCTCCTTCGACCTCATGAACTGCTCAAAATCGTTCGTCCGGCCCACTGTGGGCGCGGCTCGGGTGGTGGCACTCCATCCCAGTGACAGTCCATATCCCTTGCCTTCCGGCCACCTGGGGACCACCCACCTCAAAGATTCTAGGGATCCAAGTATCTTCTCATCTTCTCAGAAGGTATGTGGATCCCTAGGATATATTTTGAGGGAGGGGATATCACCACCTCTGTCGTACATATTCCTGTTTTCTTCTCTGCCTTGAGAGCACTGCCGGCGGCACACGCGGACCGCGCATTGGAAGCCGTTGCCCAAGCAAGTGGCACAGCCACGGCTCACGCCCCTGGCCGGTGTGTTTTTTTGCACCAGAGGCCAGAGGTACCATTGTGGAGTCGCACCCCTTGGGAGGTCTCAAACCGGGATGGAACAAACATGAACAGACCAAGTTGGATCCCAGACATGCACCTGCTAGAGAGGGGCTGGCGGAACATATCGGAACTTGGTACAGTAGAAGAACTGCTTGGTTGTAGAAGCCTCCGCAGTGGCAGAATTGGGAATTGCCCAAAGTTCCAGCATCTGGTTGCTCCGCCGGGCTCGCCAAAATTCCAGCTTCGGGCCACTTGACCCCCAATGTTCCTGCCGCAGTCGCCTGGTGGAGAGGCAGCCAGAGACGCAAATGTTGCTATCGGGCCGCATCGCGCAGCCGCGCCCACAGGCCGAGAGGGATCCCTTGTTGTCGTACCTGGGAGCGTGGTAGTTTTCTAGATTTGCCGAAGACCGTACCCAAACACTCCATGTAATTTTGCAATTTGCCTACGTAGGGGTGGTTTGAGGGGTCAATGTAGGCATATCTGACATACATGGAGTGTCTGGGATAGCTTCTTCCGAACTTCCCGGAACCACCCAACACACGGGTTCCCCGTGTTCTGCCGGCCTCGCCCGATTTCGCCCCGTGAAGGACCGCCGAACCGGGCCCCGCGACCTGGTTTGCCAACGGGCGCGTTCAACGCCAAGAGACAAGCAATGTCGCGCCTCCACAAGGCCGAGGAGCACCTCGGACGGACGCTGGGGTCAGATCGGGAGGAGGACTGAAAGGGCCGTTGAAATGGTAAGTAAGTCGCGTTCACAAGCCGTGACTATCCCCAAAAATGGTACCCTCCAAGTCAAGTGCCTCGTTTTACTGGGCCCAATGTTCTGCAAAAAGAATAGCAAAATGTGACCTCCAAAAATCTTTTCGTGGAAATGGTAGATAGACAGAATTTACTCCGTAAACGTCGTCTTTTAGTTTGAAAGTTACAATTTGAGTAAAAGGCACCCTTTACTCTGTGAAAGCAGGTTTTTACTACAGTACTGGGTTTTGACATGTTTGGAGAAACCAAATGACATGTTCGTGTCATTTGTTTCTCCCAACAGATCAAAACCCACTACTGTCTCAACTGTTTTGTTTTGTACACATCCCCATGCCAGAAATATTGGTTTGACATATCGTCTTAATTTTTCTCAAACATCATTGTCCATTGCATCTGTTGCTTGCTGTTGAAGAGTGTGTGTCTCCTTGGTACGGGGTACAGTTGTGTCTTTTGCATCTGTGCCTGTGTCTTTGCACATGCTGTCAAGGTACACTAACACTTTTTCCAGGCCCTGACAATGTGGCATCTAAATCACTGTTTTTCAAGTTCCTAACGTTCGCATCCATATCACTGTGCTTTTCCAGTTCCTAACTCCGTGGGCGTCCAAATCACTGTGCTTTTCCAGTGCCTAACTCTGTTGGCGTCGAAATCACTGTGTTCTTCCAATTCCTCACTCTGTTGGCGTCCAAATCACTGTGTTTTTGAAGTTCCCAACTCCCTGTCCCAGTTCCTTACCAATTCCTTTCCCAGTTCCTAACCTCTCTTGCCTGCGCTTTGCCATGGATTGTGATGAGTCTCAGAAAAGAAATTGTTTTGTAGTTTCTCCCAGCAGAGCACGAACTTCTAAAACACAACGAAGTGGGGTCAGGAATTGGGTTAGGAATTGGTAAGGAACTGGTATGGAACTGTGACAGGGAGCTAGGAACGGGAAAAATGCAGTGGTTTGGACGCCAACAGAGTTAGGAACTGGAAAAGCACAGTGATTTCGACGCCAACAGAGCTAGGAACTGGAAAAACACTGTGATTTGGGCGCCAACAGAGTAAGGAACTGGAAAAACACAGTGATTTGGACGCCAACAGAATAAGGAACTGGAAAAACACAGTGATTCGAAAAGCACAATGATTTGGACGCCACATTGTCAGGACCTGGAAAATGCAATGATTTGGGCGCAAGAAAAGATTGACCTTCATGCGTCAAGTGTTAGTGTAACCTTGACAGCATGTGCAAAGACACAGGCACAGATGCAAAAGACACAAGTGTACCGTGCCAAGGAGACACACACTCTTCAACAGCAAGCAGCAAATGCAATGAACAATGATGTTTGATAACAAGGTGAGGGCGATATGTTGAACCAATATTTCTGGCATGGGGATGTGTACAAAACCAACCAGTTGAGACAGTAGATGGACAAATAAATCAAACCCTAAACCATCATGGTAGATAACCACCCCCGCATGTTGTCTCAGTGAATTTGATTCGTACACTCAAGCCAGCCTCCTTCACCAACAGGCCAACATTGAACTATGGGGGGGTAGGGGGGTGAATTCTGCAAGGGTTTGAATAATTTGTCCACCTACGGTCGTATACTGATGCCTTTGGATGAGCCACCAAACTTGCTAGCTCTAGGACCCAGCAAGTGCTTAGTGCCTGAACGTGGGGCCGTGACTCTGGCGTGACTCTAGCGTGACTCCCACCTAAACCATGAAGTTTTTGACGTCTTTTGCTAAGTTTTTCCCGTCAAAAACTATTGTACGAACCTGATTGAGCGTGACTCCAGCGTGACTCCACCATGACTCCAGCGTGACTCATGTCGGCACTCGAAGCTTTTAATGTCACACGGCAATGAATGGTCATCGGCTGGAACAAAACATGGCGTTGCTAAAAAGCAAAACACAGGTTATGTAAACTTATGAGTGTACCATGTGGCCAGTATACATTGTTATATATATATATGATTGCCCAAATAATATTCCGTGGAAATGGTGACCTTCAAGTTTTTGAAGGTCTATGAAAATGTGACCTCGTAAAACTAGGTCGTTTACAGCAGGACCTCGTAAAACTGGTCCTTTTGAGGGGGAGGGGTATATCATGATGGTCAAGCAATACCGCAGCCTGAGAGTGAGAGTTGATGTTGCAGGAGCACTTGAAAATGTTCAATCCTTTTCTCAGGTTGGCACAGGTTCTCCAGGTCCAATATAGAATCCTGGACTCAACGGCCTACCATGGCCTACCAACCTTTTTCTTCAGAAGGTGCCTCTATCTTCCTGTGGTCTGACGGCTGGCGCCGCCGTGGTCCGGACGTCCCGGGGATCAAAAGGCGTCGAGTCCTCTCTGCGAGAACTTCCCGGATCCTTCGTCCACCATCCAATCTCTAGACGTCCTTCTTCCCTCCGCCCGCTTCAACGCCCGCTTCAAGCGGCAAAAAGTACCGTCAGCTTTGGAGCCATTGGGTCGAAGATGGCGCGAGGTGGTGTCTTCGATGGTGCGAGGTGCTGTCGAAAACAAAAGGCTGCAAAAGCCGAGGAGGGCCCAGGCAGTCATCTTTCCACCGGAACTGGAGGCTGCTGGGGTCTGCACCACCTGACCACCGAAGTAAACAGGGCCGGGCTATATATGTCATCGTGCTGGGGTCTGGTGCTTTCAATGCATTTGACCATTACCCCCCCACGAAGAAATGAATCCTGAAAATATATGAACATATGACATCCATTGACTCATTGACCCCAAAACCCTCAGCATAGCAAGAGTTGTTTGACCACGCAATCGATGGAAACAAATCAAATGGGAATTGAATGGCCTGCACCAATGGAGCTCACAATGGGTTTCAATATGTTTAAATGGTTCGCTGCAGGATCAATTATCCCGTCTGCAAGTTGGTTTGCTGGTTTTTTGGAATCGGTGCTGTCCGACCAGGAACTCAATTTGTTTGGGTTATACTTTACAAATATTTACAAATCATGCACACCACAATTGGTACCTTATCGTCCACCCAAAAGCTCATGGACCCTCGGTTGAGGGGACCGGTCGGGCTGTCTGGAGCGTCTGGGCAGCTTGAACAACAAAAACGACGATGATCACATCGGGTATGGCCAAAAGGCTACTCCTAACAGAACAAGAACCCAATGAATCTGTATTGTTTCCTGCTGCGCATTACTAGGGAAAACATGTCATCATTGTTTTCTAGTAATTTCTAGTATACTATACCCAGACACTCCATGTTTGCCATATATACTTACATTGACCCCCCAAACCACTCACTCCAACTGATTGGCAAATATGGCAGTCCCATTAGTCGTGTTTGGGATAAGAGATGTTGCTCTTGCAAGGGTAGAGTCGGCCACGAAGGTCCCCTAATTATGATCGAAATCCTACAGTACATCACCCAATCATCCTTTCCCGGTTCAAAGGCAACGGGTTTCAGGTTTTCGGGTAGCCGTGCTCAAACCACCACTGACATGGCACAAACCCGATCACATCCACCAAAGACCCCCGGCGCCGGCAACCAAAATCAGTCCTAGAAAATTTGTTCCATGTCCATTCGAAGGCATTCGGCTTGGGTTGTGTATTCCGAGGCATTCGGCTTGGGTTGTGTAAAATGTGTCTGACACATCCTCCACGCAAAAAAGAACACTCCATGGATATCCATGGAAACATTGACCCCTCAAACCACCCCAACTGATCGCTGGTAGTCCCATTCACCGTGCTTGGGACATCAAGGTGTCCCAGTCCTCTCCGCGGCTGTAGCGATCCACCAAGGTCCAAGCCTGGCAGTTCCCAGGAGCTCAACGCATAGCTTGGTCCACCAACATTGGATTTGGAACAAAACCCACATCCACCATGTTCATTTGCTGATGGACGTTAGGCAGCTGTTCAGCTGGACGTCAGCAGCCGTAGCCAAAAGCTGAATTGCCTATTCATTCCCGCCCCACCAAAAAAATAACTAAAGGCAAACATGAGGCAACTGTGGAAGTTCCAAGGGCCAATGACACCTCTGAGGTGTCTTCAATACCTGCTGTTCGATTCTTTGATGACGGGCACCACCTCTTCAATACCTACTGCGATTGCAGACCCCCCAAAAAGCACCCATCGAGTGAATCCTCACCCTGAAGGCGTTTTGGAAGCAGGCAGGGTTCATGTAGTGACAAACTCTCCTGACAAAAGCTGCCTGACATGTGCACCCTCACTATGTTCTTATCAAGTCTGCATGTGTTTTGACACATCATATGTTCTGGCATGCGTTCTATGACGTCTCTTCTGGCAGTCTGGCACTTCTGACATGTAGTTTTGCATCAAACCTGTCATGTTTTCTGAAAAGCATTGGGACACATCATCCAAGATCTATCTGTTATGTTTTCTGACACTTGTCTTGTTCTGACATATGTGCTGATACATGTGGTCTGACACGAGTTCTGGCATTTGTTCTGACATATGTTTGAAGTTCTATCACTTTTGCTGGGACATTTGCTCTGATGAAAGTAAAGCGCACTCCACTCTGCCGCCCACACTGGCAGCTGCCAGTGGAGGTGTTGGTGGAAGTGGACCTGAGCCGTGATCAAATCCAAAGACCGTCACCTGACAGGTGGAGAAAACATGATCCCCTTTCTTCTGCGAGAGGTCTCCCGTGACCGGATGCACGTTGGAGAACTCGCCGAAGTCTCGCGTTTTGAGCGGCTTTTTTTCCGGCCGCACTCAACGCGTGACGAACGGGTGAACGATTCCAAAGATGAACTGCTGTGACTCATCAAAGGACCAATTATGGCGAGACAAAAGACCCAAGTGGTGAGGGGAGACACAAGACAAGTTGTAGCCCACTGCTTTGGTTCGACAGAATGCATGTGTATATATATATATATTGTATATTATATTATATGTATCTGAATTATCCAGTTGTCATTAGTGACAGTCAGTGTAGCTGTGGTCACAGGTTCCTGCCACTCAAGGGTGCACCAGGCTCATAAGACGAGACTTTAATGGGGACGTAACGTTCATCCGGTTTGAACAAAAACACCCGGCAATATCATAACAAATCATAACATGTCTTTGCCAACATAAAATAATGCTCCAGCTAGGTCTACGCTGTGCCTCCTTCTTTCACAAGGAGACTCCGGTCTGTTCCAGCAACCTCCAGTGATCTCTTTGAGATATCTTTGGCAATAAAAGGCTTCTAAAGCAAGGAGTTCCACCACAGTCAATAGTTCTTGCTTCGGAATCGTCCACGAAAATTGTTCACTGCACAAAGCCAAGTGACTCGGGTGAGTCTTCTCCGCGGCAACGGGTGGAACAAGAGGAACCTTGCTGAATATTGCTAGGGCCATTCTACATGCTTTGAAAATAGAGATGTGTAGAGGTACTAGGTACCCAAACCAGCAGCCGGGCGGACAAAGTGTGATTCATGGTACCCACTCAAGAATGACTGCACACAAAGTCTTGACTCCCCAAATAACTGGTGTGGTAAGCATCTACCCCCTCCAAGAATGGATTAGAAGGTGGTGAAGTCCGAACACCAAATTGGTCTTTTGCAACATGTTGGAGTTGACAAGTTTGACGAGAGACCATAAACCACTTGTGCACACTGAAAATGAACGATGGAAGAAGAGAAAATGCTTATCTTCCTTCGTCAGCTTCCAATTGGTGGAGGCTGCCTATACTTACAATCACTGAGCATGGGCAAAGACCCAAATAAACGCAACCACCGGACCTCGTTTCAACCAAGTAAAATGGTTGCATCGCCTTGCATCTCCTTGCATGCGCAGCCCCGCGGGTTCAACTGTCGGGTTCAACCTGTTCCAGTCTGCTGAGAAAGACCACCCCTGAGCAATGGCCCACCATCCCCGGCTCCCAAGATCTGCTTAGAAGGCAGTTACACTTAGACCTGAAAATTTGGATTGGAAGGAACCTGGAGGGGATTTTACCCATAGAGAGGAAAAACAATAATCACTTTACTGAAGCAAAAACATGCAAAAACAACAATCACAACCACCACAAACAGCTACCAACAGCTACTCAGGTCTACCTCTCGGAGCCCAACGGGCGGGATCTTCGTGCCGAGTTCGCATTGCGGAACCTGACACGGATGGGTCAGACGAGTCGAAGTAATCCCGGTGTTGAGGCAGGGGGTGGGGTGGAGGATGTAGGATAATCCATGGATTTCATCGATTGATAGTAGGATAGTCATGAGGGTTTCACTCATGAGCAATAGTCATGGTGGCTTTCACATGGATAGTCCTTGAGTGGACGGACGACGCCCCGCAACAGTTGTGCAGTAGTGTTTGTCTTCTTTCATGTCTCTGTTGCAGCCCTCACAATGAACAGACCACAAACATGAGATCCTCAGGTTGCCTTGACAACTCAGATTGGTTGGGAACTTCATGAGCCATCGACATACAAGTTAATATGATACCTAACCAAAACGACCCTAGGCCCTAGGCTGCTGGTTTGCTTTTTGCCTGGTCTGCATGCACCCCCCTTCTACTTTGGGCATGATTCAATAAGAAATCAACCTTCCAACTACTGCAACATATATCTTGCAGCAGCTGCTCCTACCCATCGCAAGGCTCGGTCTTCCTTTCTTGAGCTTTGCTGACCTCTTCCATCCTAAGATTGCACCCACCGACTTTGGACAAACGATAAGATACACTCAGTCTACGGCCGTTGGGAATCGAGTCTTCGGAAAAACCCAAGGAGACCCTCGATCTTCCCCAGTGAGGTGCGCTGGTTGCCAGTCATCTTTGCCACTTAGACTTGTGACGCCAGTGGTCTTAGTTCTTAACACTCATCCACAACACGTCCCATGGTTAATCTCACACGCCGCGAACCGAACTGGCCGTCTTGTTCTCGCTCCAACCCGCCAGCCGCTCTGCCCCCAGCCGAGCCGCCGCAACGCCCGGCTCCACGCGCGCGCGCCCCGAGCCCTGCGGTCACAGCGAGCCCTGCGGTCAGGCAGGTGCTGCGGTATACAGGTTCACAGCGCCATAGGCGAAGCCTCGAGGGTGGGCCAGTCCGTCAAGTCGCCGGACCCGGCGTTCCCAAAGGTCCCGGGATGAGGAAAGAAGAGGTCGCTTCAAATGGTTGGGCGACTGCGGTGGGTTTCTTCGTCAGTCTTGTTCGTTGAAAAACTCACTCACTTTTGTTCAAACAGTTGCTTTCCTGGTCTCGTCCCCCATATCCAAGGAACTACCCAAACACGATTGGTCCTATTCACAGACGAAACGGGTGTTGAAGGGCGACATAGGCGACGACATCGCGAACACACAAAATCTCATCAGGTCTTAGATCAAACAGTGGTATCTATTTTGGGCTTGTTCTGTTTTGAGGAAAAAAATGGTTGCGAACTATGTTGTCGCTGACGTTGTGGTTGATGTTGAAGAAGAATTGTGGGGACAAGATATGTTGTAGCTGATGTTGTAGTTGATGTTGTTCAAAGTTGCGGGAAACATAAACATATGTTAAATGATGTTGTAACTATATGCGGGGCATAAAATGGGTAACTATGTGACATATGTGTCATATGGTGGCTGATGTTCACTTATTAGATGATGATATACTGGTATACAATGATGTGATAAGTAACTAACTAATATATTTATAGCTGCACGAAGATCTGATCAGCCACTCCGCGCCCCGTTGCCCCGGCTGGAACGCAAAGGTGGGATCATTCCTCTGGCAAAGGAACTGAGCAGGTTATATAAGTTATGGACCATATGGATCATCTAGATCGTGACCACACACTTGGAACTCAGATCTCAACAGTCTTTTTCTTAGACCTTGCTGACCTTGCTGCCATGTTTGGCCAGCCCGCGGTCAAGAGGCAAAAGTTAGATTCTGGAAGTGCCCTGACTCAAGAATTACATTCTAGTCAGTCAGTGTCTAGTGTGCTAGACTAGACTGGCTAGACTAGACTGGCTAGACTAGACTGGCTAGTGTGCTAGACTAGATGTGCATCAGGTCCGCAAGGTTTTTGGATGTCAGTCAAAGCTATTAGAAGATTGATGGCTCATGTAAAGGCTTGCTGCTTGCTTGGGTGTTTGGAAGTAGTGTTTGAAAGGGGCCGCGAGTTTGGCGTTGACGTAATGATGCGAAATCGACTAACACTGACACTCCTATAGATAAATGTCTGTCCTTTTGACAGGTGTTAGCCCCAATGTTGCTGAGCCGTTGGACATCTTTCCAGAAGTGTGGCTTCCAAGGCATCTCCGCTTTGATTGAGTGCTGAATATGAGTCCTCGATACTTTACTGTCATTCAAGCCAGCCCGATTTAATTCGATCATGTGTATAAAACTGTTTTATATATATAAGCAGCCATATAATGATGATATAAAGAAATAGGAAATTGCTCGTATATTAAAAAGGAGAGTTGTCATCAAACCAAATGAAAATTCGTGACCCAAAGATCCTGTATCTTGGAATCCCTCCTTCCCTCCACCACCTTTACCCCTCCAGGTATTTGACACTCGCTGGCTTTGATGCATCAATGTTGGATGAAGCGCGCCAAACGTGGCTGGGCACAAGTGAACATGAGTTTTGACCTGGCCACCCCTTGAATATGGCAAGTGTAGCGTGGTTTCAAAAAAAGGTCCTTCAGTCAGTCACGCACGGCCGACCCGGCGTTATGTTTGATTTGGAAGGCCCTGACCTTCCGGACCAAGGCTCCGAGTCTATGGAGGCTGCGAGGGTGCTGGCACATCAGCATACATAGCGTCACTTGGTTTGGTTTTGTGTGTGATAAGAGTTGCTCAGCGCCCAAAGTTTGGCTTGTTTGTGTGCAACCGACCTCATTTTTGACTTTGCTTGAATTGCTGAACTCACCACTGAAGATTAGTTGCCAACAGTTGTACTGGAGAGACTGGGGAGGTGACTTAAACAAAGAGACAACTTGAGTAATCATAGGCGTTGAGCAATCTAGTATCTGTAGTATGACCTGGTGACCGGATCTCATTAGTGTTTGGTTCTTCTTCCTGTTTTGCTGTAAGGAGTTACGCTGCGAAAGTTATGGACCTTTCCATTGAACTGGGCTTCTCCAGTGAGTGTGATCGTGAATCTCGAGACTTTTGCCTGAGGCATCAGGACTGTTTCTCAGCTGAGTGCTATTGTTCGTACTTCTGGGTTCAGCACTTCTCTTAAACGTTTGACAGGTGGCTGACAAATCCTAACAAGTCAGATAGGGCTGGCCATAGGCCACAGGCTACCAGTTCGATTCAACAATGACAAAGAGATAATGGTAATAATGATGGTATGATTCCAGTATGATGATTTGATATGATATATAATATTTATAGTAATTTATAGACATTTATAGATGATTAGAAACATATATAGATAGATAGACTGAATACTAATCTGAATCGCAGAAGCAGGAAACCCAGGTCCGGCCTAAACCATATCAGCAGCGTGCTTCGGGTTACAGGTTTGTTTAAGCTTATACACGTTGTTGCAAAGTCAAAGGCAAACAAAGTGCAAAAACTGCTCAAATTAGTTTGTTCTGAACTATGAACTATGCCGTTAGCGTACTGCCACAGTACTGCCGTTGTTCTTTTTAAATAGGTCGGGCAGCCCAATCATCTCACAATGCAGTCCGTGTGAAACCCTCCCCCTCCACGTGGAACAGCTAAGGGCAACACTTCTTTGGGGACATTGATTCCGACGAGATTGGTGGATATTGCCACGTGTGCAACCAGTCGCACTTGATCCCTCCGAAAAGTTCACCTGTGGAACACGCCTCTCGCCAAATGACTTGGATCTGGACTTGTATGACGGGGATTCGATGTCGAGGACATTAGACTCAAACATGACTAGCATGACCAACAAAACAAGCTTACGGACCTGACCTGACCTGACCCTACTAGGCATTTGTATGTTGATCCTTGGTTGAGCTAATTCATGCTAACTCGCAGAGACCTCATTGAGGACATACTTTCTGAGTGGAAGTGCACTAGTTGTGGTGGTTGTCAATGTTGTCACGAGTTATTTGTGAGTGTGACAAGACTATGATGACCTGACCTAGGTGACCTAAGCCCAAGTCTAAGTAAATCTATAGATAGATGTGAGTCTGAGCCTGAGCCATCTGAGGACATAATCCTCATCGGAATCCCCTGTCCACTTTTCTCAAACCTCAACAAGAACGTGCGCAGCAGAGATGAATTCAATCCGTTCCAGCAGCGCCCCAACTGCAAAGCTAAGCAGTCAGTTGAAGTTCTTGTTCCATACTTTTCGGATGAATCATGAATCTGTTCCTTTGAAGCAGAACTCAGCTCTGAAGAAGGCTTTTGAATTATGTGCCATTTGTGCTTCATTGTCATAGGCTATAAGCCATAGGCAAAGATGAGGGTACACGGATAGACAGACCGATAGACCGGATAGACATCTGGACATTGTGATTTCTTAGTCTAAATTCAAATTAGAAAAATAAATACTATGACTCTGACTATATATATAATATATATTTATATTAATTGCTAAATCGACACGGACTACTAGACATATTCATTATGACTCATATGACATATGACTGACATGGTATGAATTATGAATATGAACCATGGACCACTCCATGGACCATATTGCCATATGGACGTTTCGTGGAAGGGTTGGAAAGGTCCGACGTTGGAAAGCTGCAAGTGCGTGTGCAGTGCGTTTGCGCTTGCCGGCTTAGGGCGTCCTCCAGGCCTGTCCTGTCGAGCTTGAGAAAAATTCGCTACCGGAACCCGAAGTCATTTATCATTGAGGAAGTGTCTTGGTGTAAAAGCTCAGCATTCTGCTGGTTTTTTGTGATTGGGGTTGTCCTGGCTCGGAACACAGGGTTCGGAATACAACACAGGCAGCTGTAGACGACACTGACAACACTGCAGACTGTAGTGGGCCTAAGCCACCGCATTAACAATGAAATTGAAATAAATGAATAATCAGACTAAACTTAACCAACCTGCCAGCACAAATGCTGTGTGCAGTACTGTACTGTGGTGCTTTCCAGAGAGTCGGGTCTGTGGAGTGTGGACTGGACTTTGACCATGTGCAATTTAGAGGAGGCAGCAAAACAACCCAAATAGTCTGTCCTGGCAAGCTCATGCAAACGCCCGTCTCAGGTTGCTTCACTTCTTCAACCTTTCAGTCCACCACTACAAGGAGAATTCTCCAAATACAAGGCAGCGGCATGGAGTGGGTTGAGCCATTGACATTAAGGTCAAAGGTTGCTTGCCAGTTTGGTAGCTCTGGGATCTGAGACACGAGAGAGAGAGAGAGAGAGAAAAAAAAAGTGAGAGCGAGAGGGGTTCTTTTGTAAGATTTGATTTGATTTTTTGGTAAGTGCTGTAGGCAGCCTAGGTGTTGCTGTGCTTTGAGTTGCAAAATGAATCAAAAGAGATCTGATCCTACAGTCAGCGAGAGTTGGCGGTCAAGTCACATGACAGGTGTTTTGAATGCTTGACCTCCCGAAGATAAGATACCCACTTTGACCTTCGGGAATCCCAGCCGTCCCAGCCCCATCAAAAGTTTAGGCTTAGGGCCGCTCCGTGGCGGTAGACACTGTGGCTCGTGTTGCAGAGTTTAGGAGGAGCGCTGAAGCACCAAACAGAACATCCTCGCCAGCATCGTCATCAGGTCATCATTCATCATCCACTTCATTTCGAGTCATTTCGTGTTCGGTACAGCGGTGCACCGGTACACCAGCACAACAGTTCAATCCTCAAATTTCAAACCCAGCTGACATCAATGATCAACGGTCAGCGCCATACCAGCAGAAATCATCTAAAGATATCGAAAGCATTCCCCATGAATCCTGGTAACCTTTGCAGTCGCAGGGCTGAATCAAAGCATCAGTCACCCAGGGTCCCTTTGCAAAATCACTTCAGCTACGCCCTGATGGAGTCCTTTTCCGCGTTGTGGTCCCGCATATGCAACAAGCCTCCTGAAGCACCAGCTCAGCCACAAGTTGCTTCCAGCTGCAAAGGCAGTAGCAGCAGCAGTTCTGGTGATACCGATACCCAGTC